TACTGCGGTCCGTGACCTCGGCAGGTTCTTCGGTTCTGCCGCTGCTGGAACTTATGACCGTCACAAGCCACGGCGGGCAGACGGAGGTCATGTGACCGCCGGCAGCAGAGCACAAGACCCGAGCAGAGTCAAAGAGACGCTGTTTCTGAGAAACACAAACTGTGAAGCTAAAGAGAAGAAAACAAACATCGTTAAAGACCAGAAACGAGATGTGATGAAGTCAGTAAATGATCAGAGTCACAGCGACTTTACTTCCTGTTTCATCCAAGAAAAATAAAAGCTCATTTACTGAACTCATCAAAAGGAAAGGTTTGTTTCAGTTAGTAGGTTTGCATTTGATGATGTGGTGAGAATAAGGAGCTGGAGTGACTCTATAGAAGCTGTGAGAAGGTAAATATTTAAAATACATGAACAGGAAATGACTAAAAACGAACAAAACTGTCTCAAAAATGACAGAAGACACAAAAAAAGGACAAAACTGAGACAAAACAAGAGAAAGGAGACTGAACTGATGCAGGGAGACACCGTTAACGAGTTTGTAGAAGCTGTTCAGAAATAAAAATGGTTGAATATCTAAAGTAAGTCGAGACAAAAGTGTCGTCAAAAGACACTAAACTACTAAAACAAGACATGAAACCAAAATAAGAGACGTAGAAAAACAGCAGGGAGAAGAAAAAATGACAAAGACTGAAGCACCAGAAAGAGAAAAATGTGTCTCGGAGACGTAAAACGACCACAAAGTGAGAAAACTGAGACAAGAACGACTGGAGAAGAGATTTAAAACAACAGGACCTGGTATGAAACAGCTCTGTCCAACACAGGAAGGAAACACGACGGAGTCCAAACTGCCTGAAAACTTGTCGAGTATGTCTCAAAAATAACCAAAAAAACACCTGAGATGACTTAAAAAAAACAACCACAATGACAGAAACTTGATCTAAATGACACCAAACTTGCCAGAACATGTAAATCATGTCCAGTTTGACTCCAGTTTGACCCCAAGTCACCTAAAACGTGTTGCACATGACAAAAACTTGTGTCCAAACAAAATAAAAGCTTGCCCAAAATGACTCAATAACCCCCCAAAAAACTTCCAAATTACTTGTTTCTTGGCCAAAATTAATAAAACCTGCTTAATATGACGTAAAAATTGCCCCGACTGAGTCAAAACGTTTTCAGAATGAACTAAATTTGTCAAAAAAAACAACAGAAAACTTGCAAACTTACTAAAAAGTTGTTGAATACGTCTCAGAAATCTTCCCAAAATAACAAAAATTAGAAAAAATACCAAATAAAATGCACCAAAAGATTCAAACCTTAACCTTAAAATAACCAGAATGTGACCAAAATGCCAGAAAACCTGCATAAAAGGACAAAAAAGTCTCCAAACTGCCTGAAACTTGACTTGACTCAAAAATCACCCAAATGATGTAATTTGTGGCCAAAATGGGGAAAATCTGCCCAAAATGACTCAAATATTGTCCCAACTGACTCAAAACTGTTTTCAAAATAAACTACATTTGTCCAAAACGATGCAAAATTTGCGAAAAAGGGAAGAAAATGTGCACAAACTGCCCAAAAGGTCTCAAAAATGGTTCCAACTAATAAAAGAAAATGTCCAAAATGACTCTAAGTTTGGCTACAATTGGACCAAAATGCCAGAAAACTTGCCATAAATGCCACAAGTTGTCCCACCTGACTCAAAACTGTTTTCAAAATAAACTACATTTGTCTTAAATAACGTAAAACTTGCAAAAAAAACCAGACAAAAACGTCTCCAGATTGACTAAAACTAGACCAGAATGACTCAAAAATCACTTAACTGACTTAATACTTGACCAAAACGAGGAAAACCTGCTCAATGTGACTCAAATATTGTCCCAACTGACTCCAAATGGTTTTCAAAATAAACTACATTTGTCCAGAAAGGTCTCAACAATTGTTCCAACTAATTAAAAAAAATGCCTAAAATGATTCTAAACCGGCAAAAAAAGGACAAAATGCCAGAAAACTTTAAAAAAATGACTAAAACGTGTCCAAACCACCTAAAGTTCGACTAAAATGTCACAACAGACGTCTGAACCGACTCCATATTTATGTGACGTTGCTGTTTTTCTGGTTTCCGTGGTTCTGGTTCTGAGCTGGACTTGATCGGGTCAACACGTTTCATTTCTCCAGACGGTCGTCCGTTCGGCCTCCTGCTGCTCTGAGCTCCGGTCAGCTCACCTGTTTGTGCGTCGCACCATCTGTCAGGTACACGCTCACCTGTGTCGCCGTGGAAACGGGCCGCCGGTTGCCGGGAGACCTTCAGCCACACAAAGACGTGCGGACGCACCGACAGACGCACATTTTCCACAACAGCCGGCAGCAGAAGGCCGTCGGTCGCCTCCGATTTATTGATTTATTTAATCTGCAGCTTCACACATTTCTAAAATCTAATTTACTGATTTAAATAAACTTTGAGACGTTCTCGAGTTCAGCCGACGTAAAAATGTTCCCTCAGCTTCATGCTTTGTGTGTTTTAAACCCCGATTTCTGCTTTAAGTGATTTAAAACACAAACAAAAAATGTAAAGAATTTCTTGAATAACTTTAGAATTTTTTAACTTTAAAAAAACGTGCAAACAGTGAAAATAAGAGCAAATATCTGAACAATAATAATGTTTTCATCTGATTTAAATCCAGTTAAAATGTAAATGACTATTTGTAATATTTCCATCGTTATTATTTCTAATTAAAAATAAAACAAGAAAAATGTGTAAAGCGACACTTTTTCAAATCATTTTTCAATTTTAAATATAAGTTTTGTTTTTTTCTTTCAGTATAACAGCAAATAAATGTCACTTAATATTTTTAATTAAAATTTAGAAAAATACAGATTTTCTATGTTGACTTTTTTTTTTTTTTAACTTTTTTTTGGTTGTTTTTTTTTACACTCAGTTTTTAAATGTATGCGTTGAAATAACAATAACAAATAACAATTAAAAACAATTCATTGGTATTTTTCAACCTCAGTCAAGCTTCTTTTTTAAATTTATTTATTTTTTAAAATTTAAATGCATAAAAAGAAAATAGTGCAATTTTATGGTCAAACATCAAAAAAATTAATTACGATCTGTGAAAATACAGACTACTGATGTGGACATTTAGTTTTTTTTATGCTCAATATGTAAATAACAATTTTTCTGTGATTTTTTTAAAGCATTTTTTAAAAACTAAAATACATTTTTTCCAGTCAATACCTAAAAATTAGGCTATTTGTGTGGTTTTTGAATAGAATAAAAGAAAACACACACACACACATTTTACAGTCAAACACTGTAAAAGAACTCGTTAGTATTTGTGTTTATTGTGAACATTATTTACAGTTTTGGCCTTTTTCAGTCAATTTGTTAATTAAAATGTCGGTAATTTATCAAAACAGGAAAAATCTGTAAAATTGTTAGTTTAAATGTTTTCTTTTTTAACCTTAATAGACCCAATTTTTGCAATTTTAAAAATGGAAATTGTGAAATTTTACAGTTGAAATGCGATAAAAGAACCGATTACTATTTGTAAAAATACAGATATTTATTTTGAACTTTATTTACAGTTTCAACATGTAAATTAATAAATTTAGTTTTCTGTGATTTTACCAAAAAACTCCATAAATAAGAATAATTTTTAAATCCAGTAAAAATGCTAAAATATTTTTTACTACTCAAAAGGTGTTCAAAATAATGCAAAATTTATTGAATAAAAAATTATAGAAAATTAAGTAAATAAATAATTTTAAAAATTGTCCAAAATGACACAAATCTTGTCAAAAAATAAATTTTACAAACAATTTTTCTGTTATTTTACCAGAAAATCAGTGAAATAAGTTTAAATTGTTTCTATAAAACATCCAGTAAAAAAAACTGCTAAAATTATTATTATTTTTTTTTTTTTACACTCAAAGTGTGTCTAAAATACTTAAATATAAGACGAACTAGTTTTTAAAACCTGCACTGTAAAACCTGCTGGTCCGGTCCGTGTTTTGCGGTGCGTCCTGCTGCCGTCCGGCTCTTTGTGGGTGTTTTCTCCTTAATGGTGCCGAAGTGCAGCTCGGTGACGTCGGCTTCAGCTCAGAGACGAGTTACGACACTCGGAGCTTTTTATGGCTCCGGCTCTGGGTTACGTGTTCGTTAGCGCCTCTGCTAATCATTAACTCTGATAATAATAATAACTTGTGCTGCCTCAGATCTCAGAGTTCAGGTCGGACGGGTCAGCGACCGGCCGTGAACTCAGGTCGATCCGGCGAGTCGCTCCGTCTGAACAGGAAGTCCGGAGGCAGCGACTCACTGGATGAGATTATGGGATGTTTGGGTCAGAAAACGTCTTGTTCTGTCCAAAGATCTTCAGTTTGACGTCACAGAGGAAAGAAACCAGAAAATCTTCACATTAACAAGCTGAAGTCACAGAATATGAAATGATCAAACTAAACATGTGATGGTTCATTTAACGTTCTTTCAACGATTGAAGCAACGTTCTGTTCAAGTAACATTCAGGCTCAACAGCAAATAAATGAACACAAAGTTAGTCCCAGATGAAAAGAACTCGACTCAGATTGGTCCAAAACGACTGATGTTTGTCTGAAATGATCCAGATGGTGTGAACCCGACTCTCAGTGACGTCATGTCAGAGGTTCTGCTGCTGGTCAGGGTAGAGGGGTCTGGACTGGGTCTGGTGGGTCTGTTAGATCTGGTAGTTCTGATCATTCTGTCGGTTTTGTTGGTTCCGTTGACTTTGGTGGTTCTGTCAGTTCTGTCGGTTCTGGTGGTTCTGTTGGTTCTGTTGGTTCTGTTGGTTCTGGTGGTTCTGGTGGTTCTGGTGGTTCTGTTGGTTCTGTTGGTTCTGTTGGTTCTGGTGGTTCTGCTCGTCCAGCTGCTGGTTCAATCAAAGTTTTCAGAGTTGGAGGTTCACGGTCAGGTTCTGGAGTTCTGGACCTAACGCTGGTTCTGTTGGTTCTGTTTCAGCTCTCTGGAGGATGTGAACTCACCGTCGTCCTTCAGGACTTCACGGCCGGATGCAGCACCGAGATGTCGGTCAGCACCGGTGAGTACAAGCACTGACTGCATACATAGATATAGATTATATAGATGTTATATAGATGTTATATAGGTATTATAGCTGTTGACATGTTGACATGTTGACGTGTTTACATGTTTACAGTCTCCACAGTCACAGTGAGTCCAGCTGGAGGCTCAGATGTTCACGTCCACTGAATAGAAACACATCAAACCTTTTATTTCTCTATCTGACATTAAATCACCAAACGTTTCCTGTTTCAGATCAGTCAGGATCACCAACATTATTTATATTTACTAAACTCCAGAGTAATGAGAGAGACAATTATTTATGACTTTCTTCAGAGTCAGAAGTTTCCATCCATCTCCTCATTATCTGCTAGCGTTGCCTTTAAACTCTATGACTTGGGTCAAACGTTCTGGGTTTCCTTCCACAAGCTTCTCACAACAGTCTGATGAGTTCTGGCCCATTCCTCCTGACAGAACTGGTGGAACTGGGTCAGGTTTGTTGGTCTCCTTGCTCCACTGATGTCCTCCAGGATGGAGATCAGGGCTTTGTGATGGCCACTCTGTTGTCCTGAAGCCTCTCTGTAGCTAATCTGGAGCTATGCTGAGGGTCATTGTCCATCTGAAGACCCATTAGTGTCCAAGCTGTAACTTCCTGCTGATGTCTGGAGATGTTGCTTCAGTATCTCCACATCATGTTCTTTCCTCATGATGCCATCTATTGTGTGAAGGTCACCAGTCCCTCCACAGCATGATGCTGCCACCCCCGTGCTCCACAGCTGGGATGGTGTTCTCAGGATTCCTTGATTTTTTGTAACGTGACCGTTGGACTCAGCTGAGTCACTCGTGGCTTCACGGTTGCACAAAGAAACTCAGAATTTTTTGTTTTTCACAGAATCTAATGAATCCAAACCGTATATTTTTGGTGGATTTTTTAATCGGACATTTCAGGGGAAAAAAGGCGATGTTTGCTGGAATATTTCCACTGTGAGCTCACATTTAGTTATTTTTTCCGGTGGAACCAGACTTCACAAGTTCTTTGTTCAAAAACTGTCTGAAAGCTGAAAATAAAACGATTATTTCTGTTTTTACAGTTTCTGGTTCTGACCAACAGGCGAATTTTGAGGAATTCTTTTTTTAAACATAAATTGTTAACCTGCAGCCGTTTTTTTGGGCTCAGAGTTAAACTCCAGAACGTTTCTACCTGTTCAGTTGGATTATAGTGTTATAACAGAGTGTGCTGTGGTTCTGCAGGTCAGACGGTGGAGCTGCTGGAGCGACCCAGCGAGCGACCCGGCTGGTGTCTGGTCAGAACCACCGACCGAAGCCCCCCACAGGAGGGACTGGTTCCCAGCTCCGCGCTCTGCGTGTCGCACTCGCGCTCCAGCGTGGAGATGGACTGCTTCTTCGGCTCCGGGAAAGGTAGGACGAGCGCTTTAACCGGGTCTGGAAGGGTTCTGTAATAAACGTAAAAGAAGGTTCTGTCGACATCTGAGCTCTGAATGACCTGAAGCTGGTTTTCTGGTTCAGCGTTAATCAGCTGCTCTGATCAGAGTACAAAGTTCTGCCGGGTCAAAGTTCTGCAGAGGTTTCATCTCAGGCTTTACGTAACGAAGGAAGACGGACGAGACTCCAGAGAGTTTAAAATGACATGAAGCCTCTCTGGAAGCGTTTAGAAACCGTCCACACTGACTTAACATCAGTCGAATTTGGCCAAAATCTCCCAAAATTGTCCAGAATTTCTCCAAAATGATGTGAAATGACTTAAAACATCTTTACTGTGACCTAAAACTTGACTTTAAACACTCAAAATGCTTTGAAACGTCTCCACTAGACGAGAAAATTCAAAATCTGACACTTGAATTGACAGAAGGCTTCAGTTTGGACCTAAACTTTGTTCAAAATGACATAAATATTCTGCAAAATGACGTTAAACAAAAATTATTCTGAATGTGTCCAAGAATGACTCAGAACTCATTTTGCTCAAATTAAAAATGTCTCCAGAGTTCCTTAAATGTGCCCAAAGCGACTCAAAATCTGCCCAAAGGGACTCGAAAGACCCCAAAAGTTTCTTATATTTTCCTAAAATGTCCAAAACTCGTCGTGCAGAATGACGTGAAACCTGTCCAGAGTGGTTTAAAGCCTGTAAACGAGGAGGAAGTTTATAAAATACAACTGAGATCATTCTGCGGAGCTGTGGCGCCTCCTGGTGGCCGGACGTGGACGTTACAGACGCTCTGCTGGAAATGAATCAAAGAACATCATGATTATTATTTCTTAAGTGGAGGATTTTTAACAGGATTTAATTAAAAGTGTCTGAACCGAACATCCTGATGACGACTGATGACGTTGTGCCTCTAAAGCCTCCGATATTTTCAGGTTCTGTGCTTTTACAACATGAGAGTTGTTAGTCTGAGTTTAATTAAAATCAGATGTTGGTTTAAATTCCAAAAATTAATCACACGACAGCAAAAAGTGTCCTTAAACCTGCGAGCTGTCCTGGAAAACTTGTAGAAAAAAGCTTCAAGACTCAACCAAAAGACTCAGTGTGTCCATGATTAGGTCAAAATCATTTAAATTTAATAAAAATTAGTCCTAAAAGACTAAAACTTGTTCAAAATCCTTCAAAGTTAGGTTAAAATGATTCAAAATGTGTCCATAATGAGGTGAAATCTTTCCAAAATGTGTTAAATTGATTAAAAATTATGCCTAAATGACTAAAACTCATTCAAAATCCTTTAAACTGACTCAAAATGTGTCTATAATTTGGTAAAATCTTGCCAAAATGACTTAAATTTATTCAAAAAATGTGAGATGGAACGGTGAGATCAGATCAAACAAGAAGGAACTTTATTGATTCCAAAGAAACTTCAGATACAAATGCAGAAACACGAGATTTAATCCAATACGTGACTCAAAATAGAAATAAATTAAACTTTATTCATCCTGGAGGAAATTCTTTAACTAAAAAAACTAGAAGATTAAAGCTGGCAGTGATTCTGAGGCAGTAAAGGAACACATCATACACACAATAATGATTATTTGTCATGATGCTGAAGCTGCTGTTTATTGGTGCTGTTGCTGCGGTTACAGCCTCAGACGTCCTGCAGGAGGCGCCGCTGAGCTGCAGAAACATGAAGCTCTGATCTGCAGACGGAAACTTTATTTGTGTCGTCGGGGGAAATTTAAGGTCGTCGGCTCCTCATACGTTTAAGAAAAATAAAGGAAATAATAATAATAATAATAATAATAATAATGTGGAGATGACGTCAGCTGTTAACGAAGCGGCCGCGCACAGCGATGCAGGTCAACAAAGCTGCTGAATAATGACTCAGATCTTCTCAAAAGTCACTCAGTTAGTCCCAAATAAATAAAACATTTCCCAAACTCCTAAAAATAATCTAAAATGTGTCTAAAATCAGAGGAAAACTGTCCAAATCATCCAAAGTTTGTCCAAAATGTCATAAATTCTAAGACTTTAATTAAGTGAAAGTCGTCCAACATAACCTCAATAACTTAAATGACCCTCAGTTTGTCCAAAATGCATCAGAAATAAACTAGAATGAGTCAAAATAAAGCAAAGAACTGTTCAAAATGTCCAAAGTGTTTTTAAAATGGTCTAAAATGTGTTCAGAATTGAATTTAACTGATTTAAAATGCGTCCATGTATGATGCAGAATCACATAATTCATCTTTTCAATGACTCAAAAACTTCTAAAAATGACTTGAAGCTTCTCCGCTGTCGGAAAAAGTTTATTAAACACAAAAGTCTGACCTGGAACCACTTTGATTCATCTAAACCTACAGTTTAAACTGGTTTGAAACGACTAAATATTGTACAAAATAATAGAAAAAAATGCTCAAAATGACCTGAAACTTCTCAGAGATTATTCACGTTTTTTCCAGAGTGACTCAAAAACGATCAAAATTGTCCAAAAAGGCTCAAAATTAGTCACAAATGATCCAGAATGACTCGAACCTTTTGAAAAATCCTAAAAAATGAGTTTTTTAATGACATTAAATTATTATAAAAAAAGGTCCAGAATGACTGAAGTTTGTCCAAAATGCAGAAAAAAAACGTCTGAATCTTCTCAGAGTGACTCAGAATGAATCCAGAACCAGCGTGTTCTGCTGCGTTCTGCTGCGTTCTGCTGTGTTCTGTTGTGTTCTGGTCTTCATGCTGCTGCAAGTCAACAAAACTACTAAAAACACACAAAAAACGCTTTAAAAACACACACAGAGAACACAAACCTGCGGCGCTACATCATCCCAGCACCGGCCTGGTTTCCTGTCAGACGGCATTCTGGGAGTTTTCTGTCGTCGGAAAAGTTGGTTCGGGTTCGAAACTCGTCGCAGGAAGTTTGTGAGATTGAAACACAAACTCAGTTGTTGGATCAGCTGATTTTCCTGCCGCGACCGCAGAGCTTCCGGCTTCTCTGGCGAAGAGAAGGAGGCTTTGTGTGTCGGCGAGCGATGCAAATCGCACAACTGCAGCCGCTGCACATGGAAATGAACGGAGGAGGGAAGAGAGGAAGTCCTTCACACGACCAGAACCAGAACCAGAGATGGAAATAATGCTCGAAATGAGACCGAAGTCAGTCAGAACTTCACCCGGTTTGTCCAGAATGACACGAGTTTTATTCATAGTGACTTAAAACACCTTAAAAATGACTCAAAACCTCTGAAAAAGATTTAAGTTTGTCCAGAAGGATTTAAAAACTTTTCATGTTGGCTCAGAATCAGTCAAATTTGTCCAAAATGACAAAAAAATATTACACACACAGAGCCACTTGAAACATGTTCAGAACGACCTAAAACCTCCAGAATGATTTGACTTAAAAACTGTTTAGAATAAATGTCTGAGATGACTCTAAGATTCATCCACAGTTGGTCCTAAACGACTAAAACTTCTCCAAAATGCTTTAAAAACAACAAACAGCAGCTTTTTCATCTTCTTCTGTCAGATAACGTCGATTTAAATGAGCTGGACTCTAATCACAGGATTCAAGCTTTTCTACACATTAAAGACAACAAACACTAACAGAGGAAGTAAACACCAACATGGTCGGTGTGTTGTTGTGTTGTTGTGTTGTTGTGTAGATGTGTAGATGTGTTGTTGTGTTGGTGTGTAGATGTGTGTGTCCTCAGTCTATAGTTGTGTAGCTGCAAAGTTTAACCATAAAGAGACTGAAGCTGATTAATGAAGGAGTCTGACGAGTTAATTAACCCTGAAGAGGCCGAGTGTGTGAGTGTGAGTGTAAATGTGTGAGTGTGTGTGTGTGTGTGTCTGGGTGTGTGTGTCTGTGTCTGTGTGTGTGTGTGTGTGTGTGTGTGTTGTCTTGTGACTGCTGCATAAAGTAGGTCTCCTTGTCCTCCACAAACACTCTGAGCTGAAGGAAGAATCACTTCCATGAAGTTTTAAAGTCACTGAAACACACAAACCTGGATCTGAGACCTGATGAGGACGTGTCCTTGAAACCGTCGAGTCGTCCTGGAAATGACACAAAACTTCTCCAGA